GTGACATATCTTCACGTTTAGTCATATAACTCTTAAATTAGGGAAAAATTTCAAAATATGCTCAACAAGTGATTTTAAACTTACTCATAAATCTTTAAAATGACTATGGTTTGGAAGAAAACGGGCGTCATTTGGTCATTTAAAACGTATGACAACAGAAACATTGATTTTACAATTATTAAAACTGTCTACAGTGACCTATATATGTAATTGAGAGTATAGCTTCTCATTCAGGAAGAATTTGAACATGGTTTTAACATGAAAATTATAGTGAACACACACACTGTTCAAATGGAGGTGATTTGAACTAATTTGGACACTTGTAAGTCATTCAAAAGTTTTGTCCAAGGTAGATGACTGTAGCTGAAATTCTGCTGTCTGTTAACAGTGACATAGTCTTACTTATTGGAGCATATGTCTTAACAAGTACAAAATATCACGATTTAACAAGAATAAAAGTTGTAGTAGACACACATAGCTTTCATTCAAAACTGATGTGAGCCCATTTGGATCCCGTTTGGTTACTGAACTATTAGATACAAAAACACTTGTAATTTGTGGAAATTCATTCTCCCCTTTTCTTTCCCAAACTCTAAATGCATGCATGAACATAAACCATTCACAGCAATATTCTTCAACCCATAGTTGACAAACAGTCAATAGTTACTCTATCTAGACTAAAATTTACAGAAATATTTGGCAAGTATTTTGACTATTCACAAAGGTTATAGAATCATGGATTCTAGCACCCAATTTCAAGGTTCTAACCTCATTCTTATATGTCCAAACATCATGCATGAAACACTTATGATGCACACTTCCAAATCCACTTACCTTAGAAGCACAAAGCTCCAAAATCCTTCTCATCCAGTCCTCTTTAACTCTCCCACTGGCTGCTCTAATAGTGAGCTAAGGGAGCCTCCTTCAAGTCCTCCAATTTGCCTTAGAGAGAGAAAAAGGATGAGAGAGTGTGGGTGGTAGTGGAGTGAGGGGAAAGAAGAAGGCTTAAATACTCCTCTGATGGCATTCCAAAGCTGACAGTTGGCGCGCCACTCCCATGCAGCTGGGCAAGTGGCCATGCATGGCAGTGACGCAGTCAGTGCTACGCGCGCGGCGATAGTCTCTTACACGGGCGGCAATAGTCCCTTACGCGAGTGGTGTTAGTCCCTTACGCGCGTGGAGATAGTCCCTTACACGCGTGGAGATAGTCTCTTACGCAAGCGGCGATAGTCCCTTACGGGCATGGAGATAGTTTCTTATGCGCACGGCGATAGTCCCTTTCACGCGTGGCGATAGTCTCTTACGCGCGCGACGATAGTCCCTTACGCGCGCAGCGATAGTCCCTTACGCGGGCGGTAATAGTCCCTTACGCGTGCTGTGATAGTCCCTTACGCGCGCGACGATAGTCCCTTCTCTTCTATGTGTTGTGTTAGTCCCTTCGCTATACATCGGACGATGCTTCACTCTCCCCGCCTTGCAGGTGACTTAGAAAAATCTTAGGTCGTTACATACACCTATCACAACTCATTCTAATATGGGTGTGGTTTCTATAAGGTTGCAAACTTAAACAATTCAATTAAGGTGCACTTCCAAATTTCATCATAACATATAATTTTGTTGTAAAAAATTCTTAGGATTATCTTAAAATTTATTTTCATATCTAATTATAAAATTTTAAATTCAAAAAATGGTTAAAATCAAGTAGACCTATAAATATATGAAAACCTTGAAATGGACGGTCTAGATAACGTGTTTCAAGATGCATTATTTATAGGTCTCAAAACTCTGTTTTCTTTCATATTCATACATCTCGATGTAGAGATGATCGATTAGAGGGTTTTTCAACATTAAAACAACATTTTCAATAGATTTTTTAGATGCATATGTGATTCCTTATATAAATTTTTCCCTTCAACCTTTGTATTTTGAGGGGTTGTTTACTCTAGACAAGCCCTATAAATATTTTAAAAGTAACTTTCCATATAAAATTTAAAGGAAAAAGATCGTGTAAGCCAACTAGCTGATGGAATAGTATAAACCCAACATGCCATATTGAATCATCTAAAGAGTATTTTGGTTAATTTATTTTTTTATAAATTATGCTATTAATATTTTTATTAGGTCCACCTATTTTTAAAGAGTAGATACTCAAAATTTCAAATGAATTGGATTTATACAAAAAAAAATTAAAATTTAAATACAAAATATAATCGTGACCATATGTTAGGCTCAGATTCAATCTAGGCCATCAACGTTTACTGTAGCTATCAGCTAGCAGGCTAACCTAAAATTCTCTCTATTTTAAAATTGCATTTTCTAATGAGATTTTTTTATAAATTACTTCAAAATAATAAATTATTATTATGAAATAAACTATTCAATGGGAATTTTTGAAAGCATTTGAGACAAATGAAGGTGCACTAAAGATGGCAGGAAGTATAAAAAGTCATCGATCAAACACGTTGGGTTGACTAAGAAATGTATATACATTAGCAAATCCGATTCCTATATCTGAAATGTGTTCCATTCAACATTAAAAATGGCTGAAGAACATTTTTTGTGGCCAACTCTAAGCTGATAAATATGTTATTAGTTTTGCTATTAGGTCCTTTCCTAGTTAAAGAGGAGCTAATAAAGTGCCTATTGAGTTCTCCTATCTAAAACTACATGCTCTTGATCGTCGATTTTATTTTATTTATTTATTTTTTTAGGAGGGGTCCCTTCCGTTAGTCTAGAATGTAGCATTACAAAAAGTCTAAGTGCTAATTAATTAAGCCCAGGTTCTTTTTCCAAAACAAATTTTTTCTTGGTAAATTAGTGATAGGAATGGAACGTGATCTCGAATATTTAACTAAGAGCACATATAGTACGTTTCCTCGGGAGCATTGTATACTTCTGCTCCCTCAATCAAACGACCTACTAGTGAGGATTATAGGAAATTTGAGAACCACCTAAGAAAACACTAGATAATTATTCTTGAAAGAAAGAAAAATGAAATTTGAGTATTAAAATTGGGATCTCACCATCTAAAACTTAGATGGTTTCTATTCAATCTTGAGATACTATTTTTTTCAAGTGTTTAGAGGATGCAATTAGAATTATTTATTTATTTATTGAGATTAATCTATGTATCAAGGTTATACCCCCAAAATTTAGGGTCCTAAAATTAATTGTATATTGAATTTTATCTGAAAAAGTAAATGCACAACATACTCTAACAAAGCAGCTACCTTAAGGCGAGCTCTCAAAAAAAAATAAAAATAAATAAATAAATAAATAAATAAATAAATAAAAGAGAAAAGAAAACAAAGAAAGAAACGAGAGGCAACTGTGTTGGCTGCCCACTTTTGCAGCACCGTTGGAGCCCTCTCACTCTCTCTCTTAGAGCCAAGCAGCTTGGAAGTAGGCATGGGATTGTGCTTTCAAAATAGCAAGACATTAGTAACTTCAAGTCTATGCTACCCATCTTAATTGCAAGCTTCCATCATAAAGAGATAGAAGCCAACATTATCCTCATAAATGTTTTTTCCTCAAGACGTGTCTTTAACTTAACAATTGTTTATTTATTGCTAACAACTTTGAGCTTTTTCTTTCCCCACCTTCTCATGTGTTACTTCGCTCTTTTCATCAATCTTTTGCTTAAAATATGTCTATCCATTTATAGCCTTGGGAATCTCAAAACCCAAATCAAACTTGGCGCCTATAATCTTCCCTCTTGTAAAGTAGTATGTGCCGCACATGCAAGGGTTTTGGGTCGGGCCAGCCTAGGCCTTAACCCAGCCCTTGTCCCCATAAAGCCAGCCAACTCAAACCCAGCTCTAGCTTGTTAGGGTTGGGCCAGAACATGTCATGGCCAGGCTAAAACAAAAAAAACCAAAAAATGAGAGAGCTCGGTTAGGTTGGGCTGAACCGCATTGCCTTAGCCCAGCTCTCAAGCCACAATTGGTACTTGGGCGCTATATTTTTAAGACCGAGCCGACTGGGCCATTGCCAGCCCTACGCATCTAGAGTGCAATCTGATAGCTTTCAAATATCTATAAAAAAAGTTTATATAAAGCCACAACAATTTGGTACTATTGCTATAAAAAGTAAGAGAAACTCGTGGAGAAAAGCTTGTGATATGTGCCTTAAGTTGATGGTTTAAAGTTTATAAAGTGGGTACCAAATATAAAAACCCATCCTCACATAAAATCCACCACAAAGGCCATGACTTGTTTGCCAAGTTGGGTATTTTGGTCCAAAAGAAGCTCAAGTGAAATTGATCCCCTACATGTGCTCACCATCAAATAAATCCGGCGAAGTGTTGAGCGACGTAGTTTTCAGAAATGACCATTATACCCACTCCAAAACTAAGGAAAATTCCCAACAATGACGTATCTAGCCTTATCAAAATAGTTTATGCCTGTACCAACCATTTCTCTCTTGCTAATCAATGTTAATGCGGAACACATGAATTCACGAAAGAGAGTTGCTGCTCTACGGGGTCCGTTTGGATCCAAGGTCCGTTTGGGTATTTCAAATTTTTGGGTTACACATACTGTTGAGAGGATTGTTTTTTTGTTTCTTTCACGGTTTCAAAAGTTAGTGATTCAGATTGGAACTAGGTGGTTCGAATTGAAAATCAATAGAGCCAATTCAAATCATGTAAGATATTGAGAATTAATTATAGCATCGAGCATTGGTTCTGGCTAGCCCCACCTATTTTTTTTGAACTTTTTGGATTTCCAATTCAGTAGGTCAGATCTCCAATCCAAATCACGGATATGCCAAACCGATCCGTTTATTAAAACATTAGTATGTTTTATGACGTTGGAGATACTGTTTTGTTTATCCTTATCCATTTTTTTTTTGTAGGTGATGTTGTCCTGGTCAGTTGTAATAACTCGAGGTCTTTTTGGCAATCTCTGAAGGAAGGAGGGGCATTTACGTCATTTTATCTTCTATCATCACCCTTTCTGTGCCTTTTCCTATAAAAAAAAAGTAAATTTTTCCATGTTTCTCTGTCTTTCTGATTGATGGCCGCGATTTTCAGACAATCAAAAAACACGACTCAGCTTCAGAGTTCCATAGCCGCAAATTCCTCTGCGAAGCAAAAGAAACTGTAAAAAGGTAAGCTCAAAAACCTTCACTCTCTCTCTCTTCACTTTCTCTCTCCTCTGTAGCTTACAATAACTCTTTTCCTCAAACAAAAATCCTCTCTCTCTATTTCACCGATTAAGTTTTCAAGAGCTGTAAAACTCTTTTTCTCTGACCAAAAAGTTCCGTGACCCGTGAATCAGGGTTAGGGCTCGCTTCTTCCTTTTCAATCCACACCTCCAAAACTGTAAATACCCTATACAGAGACTTGCGGGATTGGTATAACTAGGGTTTCGACCTCGCAACCACCCATTTACGAAGATTTCTGGTTTCGTATGATGCTTGCATATGTTCTTGTATCGGATTTTTAGGGCAAGCTTCGGATTAGGGTTGTTTTTGCAATGTGTATACTCTGTGTGGTTTCAAGGTCAGCTCGTCGAGCCCTAGCCATGCTCCCATGGCTCGTAGTCCCCATGATTTTCCTCTGGTTATCTTCTCAGCTTTTACCCCCAGGTCTTAGGTTTGAGGCCACGTCTCCACGCTTAGCTTGCGCCATGGTGCTCTTGTTCACGCTCTTCTGGTATGAGGTCTTGATGCCTCGCCTTTCAGCTTGGAGGCTTTGTAGGAAAGCTCGAATGCGAGAAAAGAAGAAGGTTGAAGCTTTTGAAGCTGCTCGTAGAAGGAAGACAGCAACTCGATGTTGCAGGAATTGCAGGGGCCCGTATAGAGACCAGAATCCAGGTGGTGGGAGGTTTATGTGCACGTATTGTGGCCATGTTTCTAAACGCCCTGTTCTTGATGTTGAGCCCGGACCTGGTCCAGGGCCTGGGCATGGGGGTCAAGAAGGGATGGGATTGGGTTTAGGTGTGGGCTTTTTGCAGAATGGGAATGGTGTGTCTGCTGAGTTCCAGGGAAAAAATGGTAGGTTCTGGGATAAGAAGTTATTGGAGGATGGGGTTGGCTGGGGTGGCTCCAAAGGGCAAAATGGGGATTGGGTCTCTGGTTATTGGGGCAAGAATAATGATGGTGGGGGTGTAATTGGAAGCCTCTTTTTTGATGAAGATCGGTGTTCAAAGAAGAATTCTTTCGGCGGGGTTTTTGTTTTTGGTTTTAGGGTTTTTACAACATTTTCTGTCAGCATTCAATGGCTATGGGGAAAGATTTGTAGATGTGGGTCTTTGGGTCAGGATGGGTCATTGGACAGTGGGAGAAAGGGAACAGGGAAGAAGGGGGCAAATGTAGTTGGGTATCAATGGAGTAGAGGAGAGAAAGCAAGAAGGAAGGCAGAGGGGAGAAGGTTGGCGAGGTTAGAGAGAGAGAGTTGGGAAGAGGAGGAGAGGAAACAGAGGGAGGAGGTTGCTCGGTTGGTGGAGGAACAGAGACGATTGAGGTGTGAGAAAATGGAAGCTGATAAAGCAAGCAAAATGGAGGTGGAGGATGATAGAGACAGAGAGAGTAGGAGAGAAAGGGAGGGTGAGAAGAAACGGCATGAGAAAGGAAAGGATAGAGAAAGGGTTACAAGCAAGGATAAGCCTAATGCTGATGGGGATGATTCCAAAAGAAGGGTCTGGCAGGGAGAGTTAGACATGAAGGGTGGAGCTGAAAGGTATGATAGGAGCATGAGCATGAAATTTGAGCCCACAAAATCGACAGAAAAGTCAAGAACTCATGGTAAATACGGTAATTCCAGGTATCAAGACAATACAAGAGCATTGGCTCCTTATCCTTCAAGGGGTTCATACGGCAGTTTTGTTCCTTCATTTTGGGGCAAGGGCTTTCGCTCTTCATCTGGTTCTGTTACAAAGTTTAACAAGAAGCCCGTGAATTCTGGAGACCTCTCTCGAAGTTCTCTTTCTGACAGCTCTAATGGATCTACGATATCACAACCAGTTACCAGAACCCATTCTTCCTGGAATAGGATGTCATGGGCTGGGGTTTTGGGTGGAGTAGTTGATTATGTTCCAGCTGTTCCCCCTAGAAGTCCAAATGCTTCAAGCTGTAGTTCTGGAGATGCACATGGCAGTGGTTTTGAAGGGGACACAAGCACTCTCCAAAGAAGCAGCAAGGTCATGGGAACTGCTTCTCATGCTCCTGTAAGTCTTGCTTACTAGAAATTTTTTTATGCCTTTTAGATAACCCATTTCTGCCCTTGTTTGAAACGTTTCGTGATGTATTATATATGCTGAGCTAGATAAGTTAAAGACTGAATGGAATGTAGGGTACGTTTATTTGTTTCTTTCTTCGAAGATGCTGATTTTTTTCAATGCGTTTTTGGTAGCCCATTTGAAAGTTGCATGATATGTTATTCATATTGAGCAAGATACAGTTAGAGAGATTAACTTAATGTGCAGTACATTTCTTCATTTCTTTCTTTGGGGATGTTTGCTCTTGTTTGGATGATGATATTCCTGTAACAAAACATGTGGACCCTTATACTCTGTTTTTGTTGCAATTTTTTTTTATTGGTAAGGGTAATTTGGTCTCAATTTTTTGCTTGAATTTAAAGCTTTTCCATAATTCAGGAACCTATGGGAGTGGCACCTATTTCGTGGCAGCATTTATTCAAGAGTCCTTCGTCGTTATCACATGAAGAAAGTATCAAACCCCAACAAAACCAGATGTATCCACTGGACATTGGAAGTATAAACATAACAGATCAGCAAGAGTTATATAATTCTACGCATACCCATGCACGTCTTGAATCAAATATACCTGTAAGTATTGGTCCAGATACTGGTAATTCTTTAAGTGGTGATCCTTTACATCATCCTGTAAAAGCGCCATCACCACTGAATTCGGATGTGAGCGAGGTTGACCTTTTTAAAAACCCGTGTTATGATCCGGACCCAGTTACCCTACTTGGACCCTTTTCAGAGTCACTGGATAGCTTCTCTTTGGACCCCATTTCTAATACTACTTCTTCAACCATGGGTAGTGGGGGGTCTTGCCCCCTGAAGAGCATACCTGTATCTACAGCAGTTAGTAGGCCTGGCCCCATTGGGTCCCCTATTCCAAAAGTAGTGCCCCTTGGAGTTTCTGATGAAATCAAACCTCCCTCTTGGTGCAACAACTCAATCAAAGAACCAAATTATGGGTGTGGACAAGGTGAATGGGAGATGTGGCGTTCTCCAAACCCTGTTATTGACGAGCTTGCTTTAGTGGGTGACCAGGGCAGCTGGCTCCCTTTGTTAAGTGGGATGAACGCTAATCAGGATGAGTTCTCTTCTTCTCAGAGACATATGCTGAGGCCTTGCTCAAAGGAAAAATGGTTCCTTGACCAACATAATTCTAGTCCCCAAGTCACTAAACTTTCCACTCCCGTGGAGAATGGCAACAGTTTTGGAGAGTGGGAAGGAGATAAAGATCCTGCTCCTGTTCAAGGTATGGAAAATGTTCCCCAAGGTGTGGAAGTGGCTGAGAATACTGTAATTACTTCTGGCAGCTCTCCATTTCCCCAAGCATGTTGGTCCAAGTGAGTACCTACTTATTTTAGTTTCTGAAATTGTCTTGATTGAAGCATGAATATCTGGTATTGGCGTTGGTTGCTATAACCTTTGCGTTTTGATTGTAGACATATGCAAGTTTTCACCTTCTGGAAATGTTTATTTCTGAGATTCTTCCTCGGCCAAATTGACTGCATCTTTGAAAACTGATATTTATCTTACATTTATAACATGTGGGATAAAATTCATTGGGTGGAAATTTGCAGGTTTTTTCCTTCATTTCCACTTGCTTCCAAATATCAATAGAATCCTAATGTCGTTTGTGCTTAATCTATTCGAATTTAAGTGTCCTTCTGGAGGCCTTTAAGGTACCATTTTCCATGGGATTCGGTTGTATCATAAGGGAAAGATTTGTATACTTCTCCTACTGCATATAAGATATATAATTCCCCCCTTCATCCAGCCGTCCAATTTAGATCAACTGAGCTACTGACCGTTTGATATGGATCCGACGCCTCAAAGTATTTTATTTGTTGTTTTTTTATACGTAGTTTATGAATATGAAATTTGGTATGTGTCATCATATCAATGGGGCACACCTAAAAAAAATATTAATTTTTTTTTTTGATAAAATATAATAACCAAAATACCCCTTGAAACTTTCAGGAGTATTTTGGTCATTTTATTTTATTAAGAATATTTTTTTAATATTTTTTACAAGTGCGAGTTTAATAGAGGAGTGGACGCCCAAAATTTGGTATCAAACTAATTTTTAGAAAAAAATTAAAAATAAAATAGTGTAGAGATGTGACGTGATTGGGGCCATCTCAACCATTCATTCAAAATGAATGGTTCTATAGGGGGAGGAAACATATAAGTTTTATGCTGTAGGGGAAGCATAGAAAGCTTGCCCATATCATAATGCTTGTGTAATCTTCTTAAGATTAGGTATTTCATTTAGCTTCTTCATTTGTGCTTGAATGATCTGCTTGGCTAGGAAAATATGATCAGACTGGTGGAAGTTTGCAAATAATTTTGCACTCGTACAGAAATATATTTCATTTAGCTTCCTTCATTTGTGCTTGAAAGATCTGCTTGGCTAGGAAAATGTGATCAGTCTGGTGGAAGTTTGCAAATAGTTTTGCACTCTTACAAAAATATCCATGGTAAGAAATGTGGTTCGACACATTTCAATACAGACTGAATGCTTATCATATGGTAGATACTGCTTCTCAATGTGGAGAATGACTAATATGCTTTCTCCTTTTTTCTTTATTGTGAAATGTGTGTTATTGTGACATTCTACGTGGAATTTCGACATTGCATTATTAATTGAATTCTTAGAATATAATCCATCAACTAGGTTCTTAGTTGCACAACAAAAAATTAAAAGACCAAGTTCGTAATTAGAGTGAATGAGAAGAGAAGTTCTTAAGCTTTTCTTGCTACGTGGTTTTAACTTTAATTTTTCAGAATGGCTACTAATATAAAAGTAATCATTAATGAGAACAATTAAAAAAAGAAGCCATAATAGAAAAATTAAAAAGTTTTTCTTCAAATCGTAGGAAGCTAGGTCTTTTTGCCAAAAAATGGCGGCTTTCTAGAAGGAATTAAGATGACACATGGGTATTAATTGAACCACTGATCAATGAAGGTGGTTAGGATTTGTGACAAGGCATCACTTTTACAAATGATTTATTACCTTTATTCCAGTTGAAGTAAAAGGCTCTGATATGAGAAAAGCTTCTTAACGATTTTAGCTGACCCCAAATAGTTGGGAAAATGGCTCTGATGCTGCTGCTGCTGCTGATTCGAGTTGAAGGAAGTTAGGTATCAACATAAGCTCATGAAGGGACTTGAATGTTTTAGCTTGCTTTTGGACTTAATCTTGAATGGAAATATGTGATCCATGATATTTGTATATTCAATTTTTTGTTCCTAGTTTAATTTAGGATATTGATGTTCTCAAATCTTGGAGAGAAATTGGGTAAGCTGATACACTTTAATTTTTTTTGTACATAGCATTCATGAAGTTTAGATGTCGTATGCATTAAGTTGAATGGGAACCCATGCAAATAGGATTTTTTACAAATTATAATTAAGGAAACAAACAAGAAGACACCCTCAATGTTAACGCTTCTTGCGTTAGTCCACCCTATGTAGGGTAGCCAGCTTCATGTTTGGCCTCTTTCTGGACATGGGAGAAGGAGATCCCTTGTAACTTAGAAATCTCAAAGCAGTAACAATAATGTCGTCAATAATGGTTATTCGCTTCCTGAATAGTCAATATATTTTTTGAGAGTCTTCTAGCCATTAGGCATCCTTGAAAATCACCTATACAAACCTCAAGGCCTGCTTGAAAATTCTTACTTCTTTGGATACTGGCTTAGGGGTGGGTACAGTTGGTTGTCCTCATGTTGAGAGGCAGTCCCTATAAATGTACAACGTAATTTGTTGTCGTTTGTAGAAGATCCCTTTTAGGTTTTGTGTGTTAATGTGAACAACTCCTCCACGTCATTGTTATGCCTTCCATGATCTACACATAAGAAGTGGTTATGTGGAACTCAAGGAATTGAATTTAAATTTTTATTTTATTTTTTACTCAATACACCTGAATTCCACTTACATGGGCCACTAAATATAAATCAAATAAATACCTTAATTAGTAAATACAACCTAGCATCTTTAAGGCCACTAAATATAAATCAAATAAATACCTTAAATAGTAAATACAATCTAGGATCTTTGCTTTCAACAAATAGAAACTATCTAGGCGCTTTACACAAACTTCTATTATAATTTTTAGTACAATATATGCTCTTGGACTTACTGGAAGATGCCTTGAGTTACCCTCACAGGTCTTGGTATACTCCACACTTGATTCCCTGACAGATGACACTTTTATTCTTTAGGTGTTGTTGGAAATTCTGAGATAGAAAAGTTTTACAGGAGATACCTTTCGATCTAGGGTTTTATAGAGCTCAAAACCTGTACTAGGGTTTGTAGAAACCCTATAGGAACAAATTAGGGGTGAACTTAGGTGTGGATTTCTCTTTGGGCTGCAAGTATTCCCTTTTCTTCTAAAGTCAGCAAACCCTAGTCCTAGGGTTTCATGTGCCACCACCTATTTTGCTGTTTTTTTTTTGGGTGTCTTCACAAGCAAGACAAGGAGAGAGAATGGCATCTCAATCAGGAGGAGGAGAGAAGGTGGCATCACATAAAGAGGATAGATGGTGGCGTGACTTTAAGAGAAGAAGAAAGAGTCACGTGCCAAACTATGGGCGAAAGAGAGACTTTCCTTTTTTTGGTGCATGAGAGAGAGAAAGAAAAATATTGGCGTGAGAGAGATGGAGAGAATAACTGGGGCATGCGAGAGAGAGAATCTTGTTGTAATGAGAGAGGAGGCTCAAATCTAGTTTAAATAGAAATAAGATCTATGTCCTACATTGACTAGGATTTTAATTTAGGTATGCTATATCTAATTTCCAGCTTGACCTTTAGGATAATTAGAAAATCTGTGGGGTGAGAGAGATTTAATCAGAGCCATTCATCCCACAAATCATCCATCAAGATTTTGGGTGAAAAATAAGAACTTTATCCCCTTCAAATTTGACCCATATCCAACTCCTATTTAGAATTTCAAATATAACCAATCTTATCATTATGTAGATCTCTCATAATCGTTAGGAAGTCAAGGATAATATATATTTTAGATCTCCCACTAAAATAGGAAACTAAGTCTTATTAAAAAGTAAAAGATTTATTGTCTTTAACTAATTTAAAATTTAAACAAACAAAGTAAGAGTGGTGTGTCCCCCCCCCCGTCCCTGCTTTTTGCTAAAAAAAGTGGCATGCCACTATGTTTAAAAAATGGGGCGTCCCCCTAAGGGGGTTCACGGGGGCCCCACATAAAATTTGCATACACACTTGGGGTTGGGTCCTTGGTCCCACATGTCATCTTAAGTTATGAAAATTTTAGAAATGGTTTTTTTAATGTATTTTTAACAAAAATAACATTTTAAAATTCTGAAAAATATTTAGACCAAAATAAAATATACTAGGAACGGGCCATTACTAATGGGAAAAAAATAGCGATAATAAGGGCATTCCATTTGCCCCAAGAACTATGGGCCACTACTGATGTCTTATTCAACCAACAAAGACCCATGGCTCACTGTCTCATTGCAGGGGCTTATGATTGACTTGTCAAAGTTGAAGAATAAACATTGGGACCGTGATCTTAGAATGTGGATTTCAATTCCCTCATTTAAGAGCAAGTCTAACACTTGTCACCACAGTGCAAAAGGGGCTCTCTCTATGCACTTGTACATGTATCCCTCTATAGGGTTGCTTACTAGTAATGCGGTTGTCATGTGTGCATGTCATGCAGAAGTTTGTTGACGCTTAGGCCCTTGCTTTCACAAGCCTACAACCGCACACAGGAGTTCACACGTTTCTGCTAGCTTACAAACATCATCCCTGGGTATCTCTCCGACCTCAACAAGGGATGACCCACTGTAAATCCTTCTCGGTAGTGCCACATCCCCAGGGGTAAGGGTTTTGGATATCACCAGGGTCATAAACTGCTCAACCCTTGGTCAGTCAACACACCCATTCCCACTAAAGTGCATATTCAACTATAAAATGTCATATTTATAAGTTCTCTAAACCTTTAAAGGCCACAAAACCCAACACGTACCTTTCATTTATTTGAGTAGGCAGATTGTGCAAACCTGAGAAAAAAGAAAGTTACTTGAAATCAAATATTTTGAGTGAAGTAATTAGGATAAAGCTCACAATGGGGTCGTTGTACCCCTATTGTTTTAACTCAACCAAATATTCTTTGAAGCTGAAATTTTCCACAAGGTTCTTGCTAGTATTACATCAATCGTACATATTTTACAGAATCTCACTTTTCAAACCCACTTCAGCCCTTCTCATATTTCTCATATCTATTCCACCAACTTCCGTTTTTTCTTTGATTGGTAGCAACTTCCAAATTTTCTGCTCCCCTTTTTCATATGCAATT